GAACCCTTTTGCCAAGTTGACTATTCAAATTTCTTGTGAGAAGTGGCTCATATTATTTTTTTCTCTGATGCACTAAAGAAAACACTTTGGCCACAATTTTCAAAAATGTCTAATGATTTTGTGTCCCTCAGTTTCTGAGTGCCCAGTATGAGACACCTTAAAAGGGTCTTAAAGGGGTCTTCAGAAAATGCTGAGCACCAACTTCTGAAAATAAAGTCCCTTTAAGAGGGGGAAGTCTCAAGTTGGGTGCCCAAATATTGAGGCACTTAGTATATCTAGTCACTTTTGAAAATCTTGGTCTTTAGATCTGAGAGGTAAAGCGTATTACTACAGAATGTATGGGCAAGATTCTAATCCCACACTGCTTCTGCACTAATGGAACTTGACTGATTTACGCATAATTTACACCAGTGTAAGAGCAGTCTCTATGTTTCTAATTTCTGTTTAACAGAAAAATACATTCATGTCCTTTTCTAGGTTTCCCAATGACTGTGCTTAACTACCAGCTTAAAAAAAAAGAAAGCATATTGTAACATAATGACTGGTCTGTAAGTAAATGGAAACAACTTCAGAATAGGAGTCCATTTAGAGATAATTACGCTTACTATTTCATAACCCCAGAGCTACTAATTCCGTATGAGTTGAAGTTCAGAAAACAGTGTATCACACCGAATGGTTTTCCTCAAATTTGTCTGTAATTAACTGGTTTCTGTAAAACCATGGTGAGCAAAGGGCTACAACCCACTACGAAACAAATTAAAGTTATTTCCTTATATGACAAATACCGGAATTACTTTGACTTTCAAAACTTGGATGACTCCCTTACTGTAGTTTTAATTAGTTTTTTCTTCATATTTTTGTTCAAGCAGCTCTATTCTTTAGAGACTGATCAGAACTTCAGTTCTATAACTTCAATCAAGAAAAACCAATGGTTGTACATCCGCAGATCTGCCTCTTGCTGCAGAGCCTTTGAAATTGACAGTTGAGGCACATCAAGTTGGCAGATCAGAGAAAAAGGCATTTAAATTGTGTGCGTGTACTTATATGCAGGGCCGGCTCCAGGCACCAGGCAACCAAGCACATGCTTGGGGCGGCACCGGGTAAGGGGCGGCCAATCTTGGGGTGGCGGGGGGCAGCACGGCGCGACATTCCGCGGGGGGGAGGGTGCTCCGGCGGCGCTCGGCAGGGGGGGCAGGCTCCGGCGGCATGGTGCTCGACGCGGGGGCAGCGCGGCGCAGCGCTCGGCGGGGCGGCGCTTTTTTTTGCTGCTTGGGGCAGCAAAAAAGTTAGAGCCAGCCCTGCTTATATGCACACTTATAGCTAATGAATGGCATTAGTGACTATAGTCCTCTATTTATTCAAAGAGCAGGAAATAATACTTGGGCCCTAATTCACTTCTCCTAGCAGTTTAAATCAAGAGTCACAATGGTGTAAAACTGATGCAGGCAAATCAGGCCATTAGCACTTAAGTGTTGCAGTGCTTAACTTGTGGAATTCACAGTCCTAAGTTAGGCAGCCATGCATGGTAGGGGGAGAGTTAGGCATCTAAGAAAAGGATTCACAAAAGACATCAAGCTGAGTGGATGAACTGTTAAACTAGCCAGTAGGAAATGCCAGAATGAGACAGAGAAAAAAAGTGAGAGACTGACTCTATAGCCCAATAGTTAGAGTCAGGGTCGCATCCCTGCTCCAAGAAACATTTCATTAATTATACAACGTGAAACAGCTTCATCAGGAGAGACTGAGAGGGGCCCACCCCGGAATACCCAAAAGCCTGATGACTAGGGCACTCACCTGGGATGTGGGAGATAAAAGGCTCAAGTCAAACCTAGGTCTTCCACATCCTGGGTGATTGCTCTAACCAGTTGGATATTGGATATAATTGGACACCTCCCTTCCTCCAAAGTCTCATCTCCCTGCAGGCAAGATCAGCAGGGGAATGTCTAGCTTGAGAATCTCACTGGAGCTAGCGCACCGATCATCTCTGTGACATCAGCACTGAGGTGCTCTGTGCATACTCATATGCAGAAACAGGCACCTAGGAACTTTACACACCCATAGGGTTAGATGGCAGCTGAGCAGGGGTTTTGTAAATGCCACTGGTAGCTAAATATTTGACTTAGGTGCCTAAAGAGGCATTTAGACCCCTCAGTCCCCTTGTGGAGCTAGCCCTTAGCGCATTTTTCGTTTTCAAAACACTGCACAAGTTTTCCAGTGTTTCCTCGTGTTCCAAATGAGAAGGTGCAGATCTACACCACTCTCACTATGGGGCCATGGCTAAAAGCCACAATAAGGTCCCATGTCAGCAATGCAGTTCCCACTAGAGCTCTAGGAATGAGCTGGATCCTAGTCCATTTGGTTCATCCACCAAACTGACAGCTATCTTACTGCAGACTCTATTGCTGGCGAGAATTGAACACCGCTTGATTTTCAGGTCTCAAATTGGAACTGTTGTTTTAACCGCTAGTCCAGCAATCTCTTGCTTTTAAGTTGTGAAAAATTGATGGGGGAGAGGAAGAGAATATGGAAATCCACAATATAATTTGTGCATACTGTTACACCTCTACCCCGATATAACGTGACCCGATATAACACAAATTCGGATATAACGCGGTAAAGCAGCGCTCCGGGGGGTGGGGTGGGGCTGCGCACTCTGGTGGATCAAAGCAAGTTCGATATAACGCGGTTTCACCTATAACGCGGTAAGATTTTTTTGGCTCCCGAGGACAGTGTTATATCGAGGTAGACGTGTACGTACTTTGAGAGTTAAACAGGCTGCTAAAATTTCTTCTGCTTTAATTCTGCACTAAGACTTATCCAAGGGACTTTAGGGTTCCCCTTAACATCCTTCAAGTCTGTTAAGCACCGAGCCACCATTCATCCATGCTATAAAGGAGCTTAATTTTACTCTTGTTCGTCTCCAAACTTTTCCCACTGAGCTGCATTTGGGGATTTCTTAATTACCATTATTTATCCAAACCCCTCTGGTGACTATACGCATCAAAGGATATAAAGCCCATAATATTACCAATTGCAAATGGAAAGTCCCTGTTAACACATGCAGGAAAGGCCTCCAACTGAGAAGCATCTGTCCTGAATTCCTGAAACCTCTAATTACATTGCAGTAGCACAATCACAACGCTGAAACCATGTCCTGCCACAGCTGATTAGAGTACCCACATACAGGCGAGTCTCATCTTACGCGCATTTAACATGCGCGAATTCAGCTTTGCACGGTCGGCAAAAAAACAAACAAACAAAAAAACAATTTAAATACTGTACCTGTAGTGCGGGCGATTCCACCCGCCATTACACTCAATGTAATTTTGACCATACGCGATTTTCGCTTTACGCACTGACAGCGGAACGTAACCCCAGCGTAAGATGAGACTCGCCTGTATATTAGAGTCCAGTTGATAAATTAACAGGATGCTTATGTGCATGCTGATTCCATTGTAGTGTGTCCTATTAGCAAGAATAGAGGGAGTATTCTCTACTCTTAGTTTGTTTTTATTCCCTCATTTTGTTTTCTTTAAGAGTGAAATAGAATTTGATACGGGTTTCAGCTTTTAAGAGGATGTATACCCCACTTGTGAGCCCAAGATCCCAAATGAAAATATTTGTCCCTCTTCATTTTGATTTGAAAAAAAAAAAAAAAAAAGTTATATATTCTTCAGCTACAGGAAATTCATTCTGCAGCTTATGGAAACTTTACATGAAAAATAAGAAATTTAGGAAGACAACTAAAAGGAAGCCACTAGGTTGAGGGTGATGGTAGAAGCATGAAGTTAAGTAGAAGAGGAATAATGACAGTGAGGATTTGCTCCTGCATTCCTTGTACAGCCAAGTCCCTCAATCAAATCAAGTCAGTGAGGGAGCTGAGCGCGTAAGGACCTCAGGATCAAATCCTTAATTAACCCATACCATTTACCTAACACATGGACATTCAAAAATACAGGATGGGGAACATGTGAAGGCAGATAATTTAAGATAGCTTCAGTGCAGAAATTTACTTAAAATAAAATATATGTAGAGTTTATTGTAAAGTGGGACAGCTCTCAGTTTTGAAATTGGTACCACTTAAGGGAAATAAAAATGACATGTAGCTCTGCCATACAAAAATGCACTATTATACTGATGCCTCTTTTCTTAATTTCAAACGAAGAAAGCAAGAAAGCGTTGTGTGGCTTTTAGAAGACAAGCGCCCCTTAGTGGTAAGATACACAAACATTCCACCATAGTTTACTGTAGGTTTGTTTTTTATAATTAAAAACCATCACATCCTGAAGTCTTTGCTCAGTCAAAAATGCCCAATGACTAGTATTCAAGTTTGGCCTGAGTAAGGATTTCTTGATTTGGGCTCTCTTTCACACACTCACACACACACACACACACACACACACTTTTAAAATCACTCAAATTATATACAAGAATTGAATTTTTCAATAAAACATTGAACCCATCTGTAATAGACTAAAAACAATTTACATAAATAAAGGATACTTAATGACATTCAGAAGTATCTAGATAAGATTTACTGGACTTTCAAGAAATCAAGATTTATATATATGTGCATCTGAGTTTTAAAACTTCACACATCACCATGTCAGCTAAGTTATATCCCTTTTGTAACCTTGGTAAACAGAGAAGTGCAACTAAAGAAACTACATTTAGAAGACAAAATAAATACCACCTTCAGTGATCAGTGTGTTTCAGCATCAATGGAAGGAGCATGTCCTGTGATGATTCAAGTTTAGGTTTTCAGTGTGAGTGCTTGTCTTTGGAAAAGAAGAGTGCTCAAGAGTACATAAGTTCTTCTATATAGCATCCCTTATGGACACAGTAATAATATCCAAAGTAGTCTCTAAAATTACAGACACAGTTTTGCATAGTCAGGTTTGAGTAATTATGCACATACACTTTTGTGTGGATGTGGAAGATTGCAGCCACAAGTCAGCACATAAAACTGCACCTTCAATTTTAAAAGCTGTGTCCTCTGAGCCTTTGAAAATTTGGCCCTAAACGTTTGTTTGCCTGAAAAACTGTTCTATATGAAAGGGCCAAGTTTTCAGATAATGGTACACCAAAGTTGTACATGCATCAGTTGCACATCCAAAAATTTGCACATGCAAACACGTACATACAGATGCCTCTTTTGTGAGTGCAATAGGTATGGGTTTTTTGTTTGCAGCTAAAGTTTATGCACCATTTAAAAGCGCAGTCCTAGAAGTCAGTGAATGATTTAATTGGATTTACTCCCCAAATGTTAAGGCTCTAGAAGCTTCCTGCTGTTCTTTATGTAGGTCTCTTGCCCTGTTTTTCAGAGCCTCTGCCTTGGCATCATTTTTATCAATTCCATCTCCTAGTTTGTACATTCGACTGGCATTGGCACATGCCCACACATGACCCATGTCACATGCTTTCAAAGAGTACTTCAAAGCCAGGTTCATGTCCTTTGGTATCCCAGGTGCTCCTTGAAGATATATCGCACTAAGATTGAAGCAACTAGGGGCAAAACTGCCATCACATGCTTTAGTGTAGTAGTCCCTGGCAAGGACTGGGTCAGGTTTGTCATCATTTACTTGCCCATCGTGTGCTAAAAGTCCAACGTTGTGGCAAGCATTTATTGATTTCTTCCCACCTTTTTCGCAAGACTTCAGAAAGCAGTTGTAGGAAGCTTTCAAATCTTGGCTGAGTCCACCTGCAGCCATCCAAAAAACACAATCAAATACAAGTTTGTGAGAAGAACATACTCTAATTGTGAGATAGTGAGAAAAACGTTTTCTTTCACAAATTTTGCAATACTATTTTGGAAGAATATAACTAAAGATAGTTGTAAATGTGGACTATACTTCATTCTCATACCTATGAGAGCAATCATATCTCCCCATAGCCTTCTTTATTCTCATTGCTGTTCACGTTTTTGGTGGCCTGTCTAGGTATGTCTACACTGCATGAATAGAGATAAGGAGGTGTTAGTACTGTTATACAAGGCACTGGTGAGACCTCATCTGGAATAGTGTGTGCAGTTCTGGTCTCCCATGTTTAAGAAGGATGAATTCAAATTGGAACAGGTACAGAGAAGGGCTACTAGGGTGATCCGAGGAATGGAAAACCTGTCTTATGTTGTTTAGCCTAACCAAAAGAAGGCTATGGGGAGATATGATTGCTCTCTATAAATATATCGGGGGATAAATACCAGGGAGGGAGAGGAATTATTTAAGCTCAATACCAATGTGGACACAAGAACAAATGGATATAAATTGGCCATCAGGAAGTTTAGACTTGAAATTAGACGAAGGTTTCTAACCATCAGAGGAGTGAAGTTCTGGAACAGCCTTCCAAGGGGAGCAGTGGAGGCAAAAGACATATCTGGCTTCAAGACTAAGCTTGATAAGTTTATGGAAAGGGATAGTATGATGGGATAGCCTAATTTTGGCAATTAATTTATCTTTGACTATTAGCGGTAAATATGGCCAATGGCCTGTGATGGGACACTAGATAGGGTGAGATCCGAGTTACTACAGATTCTTTCCTGGGTGTCTGGCTGATGAGTCTTGCCCACATGCTCAGGGTTTAGCTGATCGCCATATTTGGGGTCAGGAAGGAATTTTCCTCCAGGGCAGATTGGCAAAGGCCCTGGGGTTTTTTCACCTTTCTCTGCAGCATGGGGCACGGGTCACTTGCTGGAGGAGTCTCTGCACCTTGAAGTCTTTAAACCACAAGTTGAGGACTTCGATAGCTCAGACATAGGTCAGGGGTTTGTTACAGGAGTGGGTGGGTGAGATTCTGTGGCCTGCGTTGTGCAGGAGGTCAGACTAGAAGATCAAAATGGTCCCTTCTGACCTTAAAGTCTATGAGTCTAAATCTGTGCTTCCTAGCACTGAAAGGTTAACCCATAATAAAATGTTAGCTAGAAATCCTGAAGCATCTTGTCACAAGAAGAGAACTAGCTCACAAGAACAGACTCAACACCAGTGGGGGCTGGGCTCCAGTGGGCGCAAAAGGGGAGGGCCTGGGGGGCTAGCCAACCCAAGCCAGGGGTTCACCCACCGCTCATGCTCAACACTTCCCTTTTTTCCAACAGGTGGAAGCTGTTTCTCACCTTTCCCAGTTGCATAATAAGCTCCAAGTTTATAGCAACTCTCACTGTTCTCATTCTTTTCACAGTTTTCTTTTAGCACCTTGGCAGCTGCTTCAAAGTCCTTCTTCACCCCCTCCAAATAATCAGCCAATCGATGGCACCCTGCGAGGAAGACAGGGATTAAACAGTTTACAAACTAGGCTCAGGCCAGGCCATTTGGGTGCTGCACCGCAACACAAGAACCGAAGACGACTGGTCTTTCTAATATGGTATCTTGCTTGTCCAGGTTTAGCCTCATTTTTCTATAGTACAAACCCACTGGAAGCTTTAACGTCAGCTCTGAATTCCCACCACCCCAGTTTGTCTGGGCAGGGCTGCACCCCGGGACTACACCGCAAGCACAGATTAAAACAAACATCCTAGACCTGGCAGCATTGCTTTGCAAGAGAAACCCCACACCTCGCTTTCTGCAAGTAGAGCTGGCTTAAAAGCCAGCCCCAGGCGCCCGAGCTACAGGCACTTCCCAGAGCGGTGAGGCCCAGGGACCTGGGCAGCATCTCTCCACTCGTGCATGAAGGCAGCAGCAAGGAGAGGCCAGGGACCGAGCGCTCCACCGGGAGGACCCGCCGCCCGCATCAGGGGCCAGCCCCCGGTGCCGGCAGCTCTGCCTGGGTACAGCCGGGCGCTGCGCCGGCTTGTCCGCTTACCGTGCGGATCGCCCTCCTTGTAGCACTGGTAGCTGTACTCGATGCCCAGGTTCTCCAGGTAGCCCTTCACCGCCTCCTCGTCCTCCAGGTTGACCAGCCCGGCCATCGCCCTTCCACGGGGGGAACCTGCCGCCGCCCGACAAGGTGACCCGACCACGAGCGCTGCGCCTGTCCCTCCTGCAGGGCCCGCCCGCACCCGGAAGGGAATAGCTGCCGCTCACGGCCAGCGGGCGGAGCAGAGCGCCGAAGAATCGATGCGCGGCATCAGCCCATTTGCAGAAGCGGAGCGGGCGGGCGGGAAACGTGGAAGCTGTGGTCAGAGCAGCTGCTCCTGGATAGTATCCCCTGCAGGCTACACCCCCTGGCCAGGGCAGGAGGGCAAGCTAGGGACACGGGGCTCTAGCAACGGGGCTTTCCATCCAGGCCCTTCTCTTTCGCTCTCCTTTTGTCTGATCACTTTCACTCTCTCTAAACTTTTTTTTTTGTTCATTCACCCCTTCTGAAACTAGCCTTGGATCATTGTATTGCTACAGATACATGCAGTAAGTTGGCTCAATAGGTTATTATGCCTATCGGTGCTCTTTGCCCGAGAGCCATTTAATTGATCTTACTGAATTACACCTACGCATATACTTACAAGCACAATACTATTTTGCACCCAGACTTACCCAAGCACTTTACAAATGTTCAATATGCCTCAAAAACTAGTTATATGAAAATGGGGAATCTTTCCATTGAAAAAGAACAGGGCTTATTCTACTTTCTATTCTCCTGCTTATTTCTCTTTCTACTTCTCCTCTTTCTTTGGGTAAAGTATATTTTAGAGATGCTGTGCTTGCTCTGAGCTGCCTCAATATGACAGTCTCAACAAAATAAGGGCCCAACTGCACAAGGAAAATGCCCCAAATATCTCATGTGTTGCTGGCAACCATTTTGAGCCATAGGTCACTTTCATGGTGCAGATGGGCCCTTACTTTGTTGAGAATGAGCTCACTTTCCCTTCAACCAGCTTTGAAAACTAACTGCTAGTAGCCGAAACAAACTGTTTACCTAACCTCAAGAAGAGGTCTGTGTAGCTTGAAAACTTGTCTCTTGTAACAACAGAGGTTGGTCCAATAAAAGATATTACCTCACCTACCTTGTCTCTCTAATATCCTGGGACCAACATGGCTTTACAACACTGTTACAAAAGCATGAAAGATGCCTCTTGCACCATAGCTCCAGGTCACTTCCCATACTGATGTTGACAATGTTTTTGGCATTGCCAAACCCAAGTGTTCACTAGTGAGTCAGCCTGCCTCCCCTACCCCCACCCTAATAAAAAGAGGTTGGTTTACAAATTATGAGATTTTAAAAATAATAAATTTTGGGTGGGGGTTGCCTTGTGGGTTTTGAGCCTACAGTGGTCATGTTTTCAAGTTGTTCTTTACAGCTATTAAGGCTAGAAACTTAGTTTTAAATAAATGAAAGCTGAGATTGTTGTGTAATTATGTGATTCCAGGAGCTGTGGCTTTAAGAAAAACATCAAATGTCATGACTTGTGATTAAAATTGTGAGTTGGCAACACTTTTTTTTTGCCTAGCTGGACTAACAGCTACATAGTGTTCAACACCATTTTAAGGGGAGAAGGCAGTGTTGATAACTACTGTCAGCAACTGTTCATTTTCCAAGTATAGACAAATCTTTAATACCATATGATCCTGGGCAGGCCATACAACTTCCGTGCCTCAATGTCGTCCTTTAAAAAATGGGGTTAATACTAATTTACCTTCTTTACATCAGTGTTGTGATAACTAACAATTTAATGGTCCTTTTTTACAGCCTCTATATAAGCAAAACTTCTATTGGCTTCAGTTAGAATTTTGCCTGCATATGGATTGCATTGTGGAGGGTAATATTTGTAAATCCTCTAATGAAAGGAAGTATAAATTAATTTAGAAATTTGGGTCTTCTGATTTATTATTTGTTATTTTGCTGGTTTGGGAATAAGTATTGTTCATGTGGCTGTACCTGGAGTCGTCAAGAAGCTTAAATGCAAGCTCTTTATATTTTCATTTTAGCTGGTTATGGTGGTATTATTACACTTTACACTGTATCCTGAAACTGAAATAACTGAGACTGGTGCACTCTGTGCTGACAAGAAACTGTAGTGTATGTCCGTGGGAGAGAAGTGTTCACTACCACCTACATCTATTTACCAAATCTGCTCCCATTAAAGTCAATTGCAAAGCCCCCATTGACTTCAATGGAAGTAGGATGAGGCCTTTTACACTAGAGACTTGCAATTACTTTGTGCTGGAGCCTCTGCACAAATACCTGTTCCTGAACTTGATCAGTGACCAGCTCTACCATCAGCAATGCAGAACTGAGAATTTTGTATATCACTGAATGAGATAATAGATTATTTTAATTCTTGGTTTCTTTTTAATAAAACATGCTAACCCTGGTCCTTGTCATCCCCATTCCCTTTAGGTGTGTGGATGGGGGGGATTACCGTTTGAGTTACACCAGTGCACTGTTGTCACTTCATAGGCTAATACACCACTTCATACCACTAGGGATTCAATAGATGTTAATAAAATTAAATAAAAAAAATCAATAATCACACAAACTCCTCCCAAGGGGAAACAGGAAACAATTGTAAGATGGACAGGGAAAGGAACGTACAATGGAATTGCTAACTCAGTACAATGCACAACCCACGATTTATTAAGCTTTGCTTGTCCAGCTTGAGATTTTGGTTTAACGGGGCTGATTTTCAGAAGAGCTCAGCTCCCAGCGGGCCCCCTGCGCGGCTGCGTCCCGACGGCTAACGCGGCTCCAGCAGCAGCAGCAGGAGCGCGGCCCCTTTAAGGGAGGCGGGAGGTGGGCCCGGCCGCCCCTAGCCGGCTGAGGCGGATTCACTTCCAGGTCGACGGGGCGGCCCTGTGCCCCGGCTCGCTGCTGGGTGACGGAGCCTGGGGACCCAGCGCAGAGATGGTGAGTCCTTCCCCCCCCCCCGCGCCATGGGGTTTGCAGCGCGCCCCACGCGGGGTGGGGTCGGGGCTGCCCCCCCGAGCACAGCCCCTGGCGGGCTCGGCTGAGGTAAATTCCCCGCCGGCTGCCTCGGGGGCTGTTAGAGGCGGGCGCGGAGGCCCTCGCGGGGGCGGCCTGGCGGGCGAGGGCAGCGCGGCAAGGACAGCGGATCGCCGCGGCTCCCCGGCGCGGGGGGAGCAGGACCGTTCGCGTTTCCCGCGGCCTGGCAGCCTGGGGAGCGGGTTGTGGTGCAACGGGCTGCGGAGCGGCGTGTTACATAAGCCGCGACCGAGGCTGCCGGAGCCGGGCGGCAGCTCCGCGCCGTGCAAGGGCGAGTGACGTTCCCTGACAGCGGCTCGCCTTGGGAAGTTAAAAACCAGCCCACCTCGGGTCAGGCACCTTTCTTCTACCACCCCAGCTGTGTCTGCCGTAAGGGTTGTACTGATCTTTAACTCGTTTGGTTTCAATCAAACAAGACCCCTGCTCTTAACTGGAATAGTGAAATGGGCACAACACCTGTGTGTGGATCAGGCCTGTCCAATTAAGGAGCACAAGTTCCCTCAAAAAATCAGGGGGACTTGTATGTCTGAGTCACTCATGTCTACACTGCAAAAAAAAGACTCACCAGGTCCCGGAGCCCAGGCTCCAGCCTGAGCTCGAACATCTACACTGTATTTTTTATATAGCCCCACAGCTCTAGCCCAGTTAGGGTGACCAGACAGCAAAAGTGAAAAATTGGGACAGGGGGTGGGACGGTAATAGGAGCCTATATAAGAAAAAGACCCAAAAATCGGGACTGTCCCTATAAAATCGGGACATCTGGTCACCTTAAGCCCAGTGAGCCCAAGTCAGCTGACATGGGCCAGCCATTGATGTTTGATTGTAGGGTAGATATGTAACGTCCTCGACGGGCAGGATCGAACCGGGGACATCTGGAGCTTAGGGCATGAGCCTCTACAACAGCATGAGCTAAAAGCCAACTGGGCCTGGCTGTTAGCTAAGGCTGTAGAGCAGATTCATTTTATCTTTCTCTTTAAGTGGTCTCGGTGCCACTAGATGGGATAAGAACAGTGGTTCTCAAGCTTTTGTACTGGTGACCCCTTTCACATAGCAAGCCTCTAAGTGCAACCCCCCCCCTTATGAATTAAAAACACTTTTTTATATATTTAACACCATTATAAATGCTGGAAGCAAAGCGGGTTTTGGGATGGAGGCTGACAGCTCATGACCCCCCTTGTAATAACCTCATGACCCCATTAGGGGTCCCGACCCCCAGTTTGAGAACCCCTGGGATAGAGCAACACACCCAGAAGGTGTGTGGGTTACAGATACACCCTCAGGGCTTCAGTCTACACTGACTTTGGCTCACTCTGCGATGCTAGCTTGGGTTGGAGCTTAGGCTGGAGCTCCTGCTCTGAGGGTGTGTTGACACTGGAATAAAATTCCTGCGATTGGCCTGGATCATCTGACTCATGCTCGTGGTGCTTGGGCTGGAGCCTGGGCTTTGGGACCCTTCCCCCCTTGCGGGGTCCCAGAGCTTGGGCTCCAGTCTGAGCCTAAACATCTACAACCCCTCATCTTGAATCCCACAAGCCTGGGCCACCTGTGGGTGTTTAATTGTTGTGTAGATGTTCCCTGATACCCACCCACCTCGCTGGGATTAATAGTCCAAGTACCAGCTCAAGTGGGAATGTCTAAACTGCTATTTTTAGGCTCATAGCTTGAGCCAAAGTCTGTAGACCTAGGCTCTGAGACACACTGCTGTGTTGTTGTTTTTTTTGTTTTTTCAATGTAGACATACTGGTGCTTTTGAAAATGCAACTCTCAGTGGATAAGAAACTGATTTTTGTCATCTGAAAAGAGTGAACAAGTGCAAATTGCAGGGATTTGACTAGAGGCTGTTTTTTTTTCTGGTGTGGTATTAGATTAGTCCTGTTGGGATCCAGGAAGTGGGCAGGAGAAGCAGTAGAAGGGGTGGGGGAGGAACTGTATTACCTCAGACTTTCCTGACTGCAAAAAGATTGTAGATAAACTGAGTGTTTTGTTTCCATAACTACTTTAAAGGCCACCTGGCTCCCAGGTGACTCTTAAGCCCAGCAGCTCACTTTTACAGGGCTGCAGGCTTATGCAGCATCTCAACATTCCTTGCTTCACTTCTTTCCCCTGGTGG